TCGCTTTCACATTATGCTCAAGTAAGCTGCAACAAGATGCCGCTAGCTGCCCCACCTGCCTGCCCCACCTACTGCCTCGATAGTGGCTCTTCAGCACGCTTAGTCGGGCAACTTGTGAGCTCTTAATTAGTAAATGCTGGCCATTACGGCGGCGGCGCCTGTGCGGGCCCCCGCAGCCCCAACCCCTTTGGGCAATCCTTTTCTAGCCCCCATTCGTATATAACTCATACATAGAACGTTTCATGCATTTCATAATTATCTCTGGCAAGTCAAGAACCCGAAACCCGTCGTCATGGACAGCGCACCTACAACAGAGCCCAACAGCCCCAAGCCCACATTCCACTTCCCACACTCCACAGCCCCTACGCCCATGCAGTCCCTCCCCTTTAACAAACACACAGTTCAAGTGAAGCTCTATAACCATTTCAAATGCGAATAAGAGAGACAGAGAGGCAGAGAGCAATAGAGAGGGAGAGAGAGCGAGAGCTAATGAGAGTGAGAGCTACCGACTGCATCCTTCTTAAACCCAATCCCTCGGGCGAGCGTTGAGCGCGCGCTCATTTTCGCGAGCGTGGAAAATTGAGAAAAGCGAAGAAGAAAAATATCCACGGATATATATGTATATGTATGTATGTATATAAAAAATGGAGCAGAGATGTGCTTGGTCTCTGGTCCAGGGCACGGGACATGCGCACGTGTGCACAGAGCAGGGGAAAATTGTTGTTTCTGAAAATTTCCATTCGATTTTTCCAGGCCACAGAAACGCAGCAGCCGCTGTCGCGAGCAGACACACGCGACATCAAAACTCCAAGCAAAAAAAAAATTATATATAGTAAAAAAAAAAAAAAAACAGTTGCATTGCTTGAACAAATTTGCATAATTTGGCCATAAAGGCTGCACACACTCACATGCGACGGGAAATGCAGCCACCCTGGCAATGCGCTGCGTCTTCTTGTTCCGCTCAACCAACTGTCGCCGAAGGTGTAAAAAACGATATATGTATGTGCGTAAACCTATACTCAGGGACCTTTGTCTCGACTGATTTGCATATGAAACACAACACTAAGCACGGCAAAGAGCAGGGGCAGGAGCAGAGCCAGAGGAGAGCAGGGCAGAGAGAGGGTTGTGGAGGGGGTGTCGCGGCAGGGCCTCTCATTTGCATAATCGGCGCGCGCATGCGTGCAGTTTGTCTCTCCCTTATGAAAAATGGATTGATCCTTGCAGAGTGAGCCAGTCCTGATTTCCGCTTAACATTTCGCCATATGCAGCAGCTGATTTGCCAGCTTAGTGCGCCCCACTGCACTATCAGAGATTTCGCACAGTTTGCACATTTCGTTAATTGGAATATCATTTTGGAAAGTATTTACATAGATATTAGAGAGATTTGCAGTTCTTACCAGCTGTGCAATATGAAAAATTGCATCAACTTTAGAATGAATGAAATTGATATAATACGTCTGTTTGTTCAATAATTAAATTCTATAAGTTGCTTTTTTCCAAATCAGGCTATTTGATATTTAATCTATTGGGCACACATTTTCTATTTTTGTAAAATATATTTTTCATTAATTCCCTCATTGATTGAATTTTTAAAACAAATTTTATCCTCATTTGTAATTTTTCGTAAACTTTCGACCCTAATAATCAACATTTAGATGGTTATTAAAATACTTTGAACAATTATTGATTATAAAATTTTATATACATTTTAAAAATTAGTACTACAAATATTTTAATCCATAATATGTTAGGCTAAATATAAAAATATTTTTAATATCAGTATTAATTTGATAATAGACTTTTTTTTAATTTATTATTAAAAAAATGTCTATTATCGAATTAATATTAATATAAAAAATATTTTTATATTTATCCGCATATATTAACATAGTAATAAACTTCTAAAAGTATCAACTGGAAAGAGGCTTTAATTTACTTGCCTACCAACATTATCAAATGAAACAAACTTAGTAAATTTTTTAATCAAATACAATATAAAACTTAAAACTAACTGAATGCTAAATGATTTTATAAGGATTTTCGATGGTGTAAACTTTGATTAAATATGAGCTCTTTACTGTTAGATAAATTATAAGCTATAGATTGTATAGATTTCATTGAAATTCCTCACGTATTTTTGACTCAGCAAGGAGACTTGCAGCAATGCGCATAGAAATTCGATTTATTTTAATTTAGCAATAAGACCAAAACCAACTTTAACATAAATCCAATTTATTAAATCCAGCACAACTTTGCCAAAAAGCAAAGAACAAATTTGCCTTATTTTCTCGACAAGAACAAGTTCAGCTCCAGTTCCAGTTTCGGCCCCAAAACAAAAGCTGAACAACAAAATAATAGAGAAAAAAAAAACCAGCCATCAGGCGAGACGCCAACAATGAAAGGTGCGACCCGCCTGCGCCTAGACGAGGGCCGAGGCGCCACACTAATATAATAGGCAGCCTCTGCACCGCCCCACCCGTCCTTCTGCGGCACACTCCCTTTGACCAGCTGGCACCGAAAGAATGGCGCAAAATGAAAATCGAAGAAAAACAATTAAAATTTATGGCGAAAAACGTGAAAAACAAAGCGCTGGCAAACAAATCATAAAATGCAAATGAACCACAAAAGAAGAGAGGCGAAATGAAAATAGGCAAAGTAAAGGCAGAGAAAGCAGTAAGCCGAAAGCAAAGCAAAATACAATTAAAACGTAGAAAATAAGAAGAAAATGCAATAGGTAAATAATGAAATTGGAACGCGAATTCCGCTCCTAATACTAACAGGAATTGAAATATAGAAAGAGATACAGACTCATTGGCTCATAGATCTACAACAGATTTGCTGGCTGATAATTGATATAATATGATCTATGATATATCAGATATAGAAGTGTCAATTTTTTTTAAGCTCAGATTACACAGAGTACGAGTAAGTGTACGTAATACTTATAAAATAATTTATATTTGTAACATATATTTGGCATAAATAGACATTCATATGATTCTAACAACCAACGTTGCTGCCCTTTAAACTTCTATAATAGATTTTTCCACATATTCTCTTCTCTTTCTCTCTCTGCTCACACAGAGCCTTCCGTCGAGGTGCTCAACCACTTTGCCCTCAGCCAATCTGGAAGCCTCTGCTAATCCGCCCATTCACATATGTGGGCGTATGTAACCGCACATGTCCATACCCTATATACTTACATATGTGTGTGTGTGTGTGTGAGTGAGAGAATGCGCCAACAAATCGAAATGTTGCAAAAAGTGCTCATATGTACCGTACACCATACAACACACACACACTCTCGCACACGCATGCTAACCCTCCCCTTGTGTATGTGTATATGTGTGGGTACATACATATGTTTGTCATTTTCCACCGAGTTTTTCTTGTGCTCTTTTTTTGGGCAAAATCGGCGAGGTTAGGGGTTGGTTTTTCCAACCAACGCGTCGTTATATTTTTTTGCGCATTTCTCTTTGGCACACATGCCAGAGCGAGACACACATATGCATATGTATGTGTGTATATGGCTGTAATATGTTGTGTATATGATTTTATTTTACTTTTCTCGCTTTCCTTTCCGCATCTACTTTTTGTGTTTTTTTTTTATTTGTGAAGCGCCGCGTCGCCGCTGACGCTAGCGTCAAGCTGAGCTTATGTAAAACGCAGCTCGCATGTATGGAATACGAGAAATAGATAACATACTAAAAGGCGAGCACATGCGACAGAGATAGCAATAGCAGCAACAGCAGCGGCAGCGACAGCAGCTGGAAGCAGAAACGAAAAGCTTTGGTCATAACAATAACAATAATAGCAACAACAACTACAACAGCGAGCCAAGTGCAAGGCAGCGCTGCCAGCGTCGCAGTCACAGTCACAGTCACTAGCAGTTGAGCAGAAGAGTTGTGTAGCAAAGAGCTTTGCATGTGAGCGCCAGAGCACATACATAGACACACTCACACACACACACACACACACATAGGCAGACAGACAGAGCGCCACGTACGTTACATACATACACTAGCTCTCGCTCACACACATATCGTGTGCCGCACAGTCTCTCTCACTCACTCGCTGGCTCGCTCTCTGGAAAGCAAAAACTCAACTCGCTGGCTTCGCACTTTTCGTTTTCCATAAGCTGCCCAAAAAGGATATGTCGACGCTGGCGTTGGCGTTGACGTTGGCGCTGGCTGCGCAGCTAGCGCCCCTTTTTATGAAAAATGTTACACTCACGCAGCTGGCGCCGGCGTCGCTGCCAACGTGTGACAACTGTGTATGTGTGTGTGTGTGTGTGTGTAAACTCCATGTGAGCCAACGAGGCGACGTCTAACGGGGGTGGGTGAATCGCTTGTTGTTGTTGTTGCTGCTACTGCTGCTGCCTCTGCTGTTGGTGGTGGCTATTACTCTTTACGAGCGTTCAAAGCTCCACATGCCACGTATGTATATATGTATGTATGTGTGTGGGTGCGTCGCTCTTTCGTGTCGCTCTTTTTGTTGGTTTTGTTGGCACACTTCGTGTTGGCTCGGCTGCTGTCTGAGCTTCGGCTGTGCTACGCATGTGTATGCAAATGTATTTCGTATACACGCACACACGTATACATATAATAAATTTTTTTTGGTGTACGTGCCGTGCGAGGACGTCGACTGCTGCTGCTCGTGTTGTTGTTGTGATAAGGCAAAAAATATATTTTATATGACGAAGGAGTAAAAACGCYAGCGTCGCTGCCAGCGCCATCGCCAACGCCATCGCCATCGTCGCCGTTACCGTTACTCGTACATCGAGCTCGTCGCTCGCCTCGTGCTGCGAGCATCCTCATGTGTTTCGCATGCTGTTTGTTGTTTGTGCCTCGCCTGCTCATACGTGTGCGCGCACGTGGGCGGGCGGGAAGGGTGGAGCGTACTGGGAGCGGGGGCGGCAACGGTTGTGAGGGTCGCGTGTGTGTGACGCTGCTGCCGACGTCGCTGTAGCAAACGCTGTTGCCGTCGCTGCCTTTGGCTCGCATATCTGTTTTTTCGGGCCGACATCATTTGAATTAGTCGCTTCGTGACGTTTGAACGGTTCGAAACATACACGCGACCACAGGACACGCGCTCACACTCACACACACTCACGCGCTGGGCGAGGCGTTACCGTTAACCGTTACAAGCTCGGGCCGACGCCAAAAATTACCGTTAACTCTTTTTTGGAGCTAAAGTATGTGATAAAATTCGTGCACTCACATGTGAATGGCAAAAACTCATCCGAAGACACTTCCACGGGACAGTTGTCTATGTGCGCTGTTAGAAGCTGGACGTGTATCGAATGGAAACAAAGAACTTAACGGGATCGAAAAGAGGATTTGAATTTGAATAGATCTCGATACGTTTTCGGGTAACTTTTAGTGACCATTAAATGGTGAACGAATGTCTTAAAAAAATAAAGAAAATATATAAA